TGGTACATAGTTACTTGAGGACTGTGCAGAGACCTAATTAGTTTTTGGAGAAATATTTGTGCATATTAATCACCTTATTAGCATAATTAGTTAATTTTCAGCCCTTCACCTGATATCTCAAGTACTAATCATCACATTTCAATGAGACTTGCGACATAGATCTTCTAGGACTATGCAGAGACTTGATTAATTTTAGGATAAATTATTGTGCATATTAACTACTAATTTGCTTAATTAATTAATTTGTCCTAAGAACCACTCATTGAATTTTAATGAAACTTTTAAAGAGTGCTCATCACATTTCAATGAACCTACATGTGTAGGACTATACGCCATATTAGTTTTGGTAAATATTTATGCTTCTTAATCACCTAATTAACATAATTAATTAATTAATACTGATATCTCAAGTATTGATCATCACATTTGAATAAAACTTGGTACATAAATGCTCTAGGACAATAGACAGCCTGATTAATTTTGGGTTAAAATCTGTTCATATTAATTCTCTTAATTAGCACAATAATTAATAATTTTTTGGTTCTAATCACATTTCAATGAAACTTGGTACATAGATATTACATTACGCAGATCTTATTACTTTTACATTGCGCAGACCTTATTAGTTTTACACTTAAATGTGTTCATATTAGTTACCTTATTTGCATAATTAGTTTTCTGCATTTCCATCAATATCTCAAGTTCAAGTAATTTTGAATTAATTTTTAATGTGTCTCCAATACTCTCAGCACACGGGAGTTCTTTCTAAGCTTTCTTTGATTATCTTCATTTTTTTACCGCCAACCACAAATCCAAGTTGCATTTTCGTGGGAGTATCATGATCAAAGTACCGAAGTCTCACGCAGATGAGAAACAAGGTTATACTGTAGAATACTTTATTTTCGCTTGGAATTTATTTTCGCTATTTTCATTTCTTCTCTCCGATCAATGATCTCACCTACAATTCTTTGAGAATCACACAAATCTAATGGAAAAAAAAAATTAATTTTATTTTTTTTTCGCGCTCCTCAAAAAAATTGCCTTATAAAAACTCGAGAAACAAGGAATAAAAAAAGTCTGGCCTTACACAAAAATTAAAAAAACACAAAAATAGAAGAACACCATTACAGAGATCAGCTGATTTGTTGACTTGTATCAAATTCTGCCTTGTATTAAATTCTTCAACTCAACTTGAGAATATATGGTGTTAAGAAAATCAACGTTCATAATATTGTACTGCTATTCAAATTCACCTCTTCTCATCACGCAGCCATCCCACCAGTGGTTCGTTCATCAGACTAAAGAAGGCAGAGTTTGGAATTTCTTACTGTGAAGCGTTAGTTGAAAGATACGGTATGCCGGATGATGAGGATATGGGAATTGAAAAATCTGAATGGTTTTTCAAAACATACGGCAATAAACAAAAAGCTGTAGAAATGGTTGGTGCACAGTCTGTAGCCAAACTGCAAAGGTAGGAGGTGTTCATTCTTACAGAAACTTGCATGTGCATATCATCATATTTCACAATTTCTCTTCAGTATGGGTAATTTGATGCTATTTTTATCAAGGGAATCTAAATTGTGTGCATGAGGTACCATATTTGTTCTATTTGTAGCACATGCACTTACCGGTACATATGTAAGAGATGTATGTCTGTGGTCAAACTTAATCATCTTCAATAATAAACAATTAATATGTTTGAGTTTAACGATTCGGCCCACAGCCACCTCTGCCCCTTTACAATGCATGGTATTATCTCCACAGCCAGTATGAAAAGTTATCAGATGTAGCTCTGCGGGAAATGAGAATATCATCAGCTGGAGCAGAAGGCCACATAGAGAAAACCTCACCCAGTATCCTTATAATTGCAAAACACTGCTAGTTTTGATCAGTTTTTTAACATACAGATTAACCAGCCACTCTATCAATCAGATAAAAGAGTTGTTTACTTTTTAGTGTGAATCTATGAATATTAATTACCTAATTTGCATATTAATGCACACTTGTTGCACTGGAAGTATACATGTATGTTGTTTGACTATTTTATTTTGTAGCATGGTCATCTTCTGATTAGCATATTAATAAGATTAATTTGCATATTATTTAAATGTTTGAAATACAATTCTATTGAGTCTGATAAAAAAGATTTAAATGTGTTCAGTATTGAATATTATAGATATATAACCGGTACTTGTAAAGGCATTTTTGAACATCTGGCATTTAATCAGATTTCAAAGAATTCGGACTACACTTCTTTAATATTGGTCAGCGTTCTCAAAATACATGTATGAACGTTTTGTTGTCTACAGTATGAGCATTACATAGTTGAGTATAAGTATAGTTGAGCTAATGTGAAAATTAATTGAACTATAATTGACAATGTATTGTATGTGTGCCTCACATACTGTGCAGAATATTACTTATTACCATAGTCAATATAATAATGTCTTTCATTATTGTTATGGTTTGGAGTATAAACTTTAATCCAGAAATCAAGATGTTACAGAATTAGATTTATCTAAAAATCTACTGTCCTCTTTGGAACAAGTTGCGAACATAACCAAGCAGATGAAGTCTTTAAAGACATTGAAATTAAGGTAAATAATATTTGAAATGGTCCTTCTGTGTCTTCTATGATGATGTGCGTATGCTTTAATCTCTGTGCTTCCCACTTATATCGTAAACGTATTCACTTGATATTTATTTTTTTGAATTAATATATTCGCATGGATAATATACACACAGTGCATCAATTGATTTAATCTACAGCATGTCTGTCTTCTCTTGCTACCTGAAGATTGAGCTATTTAATGTGCTTGCCATCGCTCGGTTAGCCTGGTTACCTTCCTGTTATTTCTTGGGTCCTTCGGCTTTCTCCATACTAGTCCAAAAAACGTTCCCTGGATCATTAATCATGTATTAAAATTGATTCCAATGTTAAAAAGAAAGGGGCAGTTGCAATTTTGTCTGTGTGGTAATTATCAGTTGATACAGCGCATACATATAACTGTCATATCCATTTTTCAGAACAAGCTAAATTGAGGCAGCCTTTCCTGACTAGTATGAAATAATAAGAAGGTGATCAGGGTATCACTCAGTGTTTTTTTTTTTTAATTAGATTTTGTTCATTTTCAGTGAGAATAGATTACAGTTACCATTACAATCAACGAAACTTGACACCGCTTTCCAGAATGTATCTGAATTATTTCTTAATTATATGAAACTAACATGGAAAGATGTAAGTGCCATTTAGTCTACTCCAAATTAATGTAGTATCGTATTATTAGCCTTGTTATTAACATGAAATGTAATGGTAAACAATGGTAAAATATACAGCTACTCATGGTGTGGACAGTTATAACCAGATCTCACAAGTGACACAGAATGGTAACGATGTGCAGTGTGTCATGTGAGTTGTCACGGGGATAATAATGTGCTTATGAAACACAGTAGTATTCTGTAACTCCTCTTTTAAACTGCTGCTCATGCATATGTAGGTTTAAGGAGGGTCATCCAACAATTTTCATCTAACATTATGCAAGGCATGTATTATTTCACTATATCGCACATTTTCACCATTCCGGACCCGGATCTCAGTTATGCATGGACGGATTTCATTCAAATTTGGTACATACATTAAACATAATAGGACCTTGGTGCACGTCATTTTTTTTTTCGGATCAAGTTCGAAATAGCCGACTGGCGGCCATTTTGTTTTAAAGAATTCAGTTCTGGATCCGTATCCGAGACATGTCTGGATTGATCAAGTTCAAACTTCACACACACAAGGTACATCATGTCACAAATATGTATGTGCATTTGTTTCATGATCTCATTAACGATAGCCAAATGGGGGCCGCTTTAAGGCCGAAAATGCATTGAAATCGCACATTTTCACCATTCCGGACCCGTATCTCAGTTATGCATGGATGGATTTTGTTCAAATTTGGTACATACATTAAACATAATAGGACCTTGATGCACGTCTTTTTTTTTTTCGGATCAAGTTCGAAATGGCCGACTGGCGGCCATTTTGTTAAAGAATTCAGTTCTGGATCCGTATCCAAGACATGTCTGGATTGATCAAGTTCAAACTTCACACACACATGGTACATCATGTCACAAATAGATATGTGCATTTGTTTCATGATCTGCATAACAATAGTGGAATGATGGCCATTTTAAGGCCGAAAATGCATCAAAATCACGTATTTTCACAATTCCAGAACCGGATCTCAGTCATGCATGGATGGATTTTGTTCAGATTTAGCACAATGTGTTGTACATATGCAGGTGCATTTCGGTCATGATCTGCTTTGAATGTATATGTCACTCAAATTCGAACGGAACGGGGACGTGTCATTGACAATGACTTGTACTCTGTATCTTTTCAAGATTGTCCAGCTTTCACCAGTCTTACCAAGTTTAAAGAATCTTCATGTGTGTTTTAATGACATTTCAACAATACCCAGGTAAGCGATTATCATCCCTAACTGTTAATGACACTGGTACTATTGCACTCACCTTAGATCTAGTATCTTTCACATCTACATGAATGGAATAGAATGGTTTCAGGAACATTTGCATGACATTTGCAAGTTAATTCTGCAAGTAATAAAGTATATGCCTTACACTGTATTATTATCCATACCCCTGTTAGCACCAGGCAACTACAGATAATACTTGATTTTGCAGTATGTACTTTCATATGTATTACATCAATTAGATTATTTTATAACAACTAGTAATGAATTAGTTGTACATGTACCCGTTAAACTCATGGCTGAGTGGACAACGCATTAGTTGTACCCGTTAAACTCATGGCTGAGTGGACTTTGCATTAGTTGTACCCGTTAAACTCATGGCTGAGTGGACTTTGCATTAGTTATACCCATCAAACTCATGGCTGAGTGGATGACACATTAGTTATACCCATCAAACTCATGGCTGAGTGGACTTTGCATTAGTTGTACCCGTTAAACTCATGGCTGAGTGGACTTTGCATTAGTTGTACCCGTTAAACTCATGGCTGAGTGGATGACACATTAGTTATACCCATCAAACTCATGGCTGAGTGGACTTTGCATTAGTTGTACCCGTTAAACTCATGGCTGAGTGGACTTTGCATTAGTTGTACCCGTTAAACTCATGGCTGAGTGGACTTTGCATTAGTTATACCCATCAAACTCATGGCTGAGTGGATGACACATTAGTTATACCCATCAAACTCATGGCTGAGTGGACTTTGCATTAGTTGTACCCGTTAAACTCATGGCTGAGTGGACAACGCATTAGTTGTACCCGTCAAACTCATGGCTGAGTGGACAACGCATTAGTTGTACCCATCAAACTCATGGCTGAGTGGATGACGCATTAGTTATACCCGTCAAACTCATGGCTGAGTGGATGACGCATTAGTTATACCCATCAAACTCATGGCTGAGTGGACACTGACTTGTAGTTTGGCGATTTACCTTGCTGTGTATTCGGTTTTATTAATTAATACTTTCACTAGTATGTCGTGTGTGTGTGTGGGGGGGGGGGGGGGTTGTGATTCGATGTTTTAGTCGTGGCATCCATTCAAACTTTTATGATATTTGGTTTTAAATAAAATCCATATTCTAGTACGTTTACAGCATAGGCATAGATTATTCTATGAAATGAATTCCACGTAGTAAACTCTTTAAGGGGAACCGATATTATAAATGGGGGCAAGATGGCCACCACAATTAGTATGCTAATTCGAACCAAGCCGCTCACATTGTAGCGGGAGCTCCGGGAAATTTGCCATTTTCTATGTTTGGAGATCAAGCTGTGATTCCAAATTCATTTCTACGGGGCATGAATATGTACGCTAGCGATTACACTTATCTGGTTGGGCTTTTGATGTATAAATGTTGTTTTTGGTCGAAACGTGCCGTGACAAGTAAAAATTCTGAGTTTAAAATGGCGGTTAATGTATAAAAAATGCCTGTCAATCACAGTTTGAGTAAGCGAACATAATAAGCATTCATTTACTTAGTGGACAGAGGCGGAGTTAATTACCCATGAGCATGTGGTGCAATCCATGGGATTGAGCCGTTCCCCTTTAAGTATTACACCAGGCTATTGTTTTGTGGATCACACGTCTTGTCCATTACCAGTCACATGATTACTTGTGTACCAGAGATTGTTTCTACTGGTACTGGATGTGCTTCATGATGCAAGATGCAAGTATCATATACCGGGTATATACATGTATCCCTATGTTAAACTGTGTTTCTTGTTTTTATTTTCTTTAATAGGTTAGACAATAGTTTTGAATCTTTAGAGCTGTTAAACTTAGAATCTAATAACATTGCTGACTGGAAGTCTGTGCAACATTTAGGTCAATTACCAAGGTAAGAAAGCTGGCAAGTGATCATGCATTATTGTTCAGGTACAACATACATGTGTGATGCCAGCAGTAAATACTTAAAGGATTGTTTGAAAATTGTACCACTTGTCATATTGTTTTTGAGTAAATATTCTGCTGTGAAAAAGTGATTGTTCCATAATAATACGCTGCACGTTTTTATATGTTGCTGTTGAACAGTTAAATAGATATTGACATTACTGCAACGAAATATAATGGTAATCAAATATAATTTTAATATATTCTTGTGCTGACTAAGGCCTTGTACAAGGACTCTTCTGGGATGATCTGAGATGAGATTTTGAGGCCGCAGGCCAAGGCATTTTATCTGACTCGAAACCCAAAGTCCCAAATTGTCTGTACATATACGGGATACATGTATAGTGATTCCTGTCAACATTTCTGCATGAAATTTGCAATAGGATCGACCCTTATTTTTAGCTCTGCTGTCATTTCAAACAGACCAGAGTTGTTTATATTACTGATTGTACATGGTCGTCAATCAGCACCAACTTCACATTTTCTTGATACTTGTATATGTACATAATGTACCTTGCGTATAAGATAAGATACCTCTATAAGATTTGTTCATTTTGTGATGATATTTTCAAGTTTCTAATTTCAGTGAATATTTTTGTCATTTTTGGTAAAAAAAATGCTATTTGCGACTCCTTTTTTAATATGGCTAGCCCTATTGCTTTGATATTTTATATGTAGACCTTTTGTGGGAACCTCAGACAGATTTGTTTATTTGTTACAACAGTCCTGTACCATTTATTACGCAATGTTTGAACATAGTAAATGTGTGCATTGACATTTAAAAATTTAAGAGGCTGCTTGTTGTTTCTTCTTCACACAATAAAACTTGCTCAAAATTTCTAGGACAATTTATGAGAACAAAGAGAAAACTAATCGGACTCAAACACAAGACATTTTTTATATAAAAAGTTTTGCAATGGAGCATTGTGATTTGTCAAAAATCCAATTAATTATTGTACTTATTGTTTTCTCTTTATAGGCTATCATCGCTCATTCTTAATATGAATTCTATACCTGAGATATCATTTAAAGAAACCGCCTGTGGAGAAAAGACAAAACTATTTCCGGCTTTGAAATCTATATCACTGAATGACAATAAACTGTCCAGTGTAAGTTTTACTTCCATGGAGAGAGATAAAGTTGATTGGATGAGACTGTAGTCGCTAATGTCAACCAGTTTGGTTGCTATGAATTATGATCAGTCAGTTATAACACCATTTATCATGCTATTTGGTTGTCATACTGTGATGCGCTGTTGATACATGTAGCAAGTCCATCAATATAGAATAGAATAGAATAGAATAGAATAGAATAGAATAGAATAGAATAGAATAGAATAGAATAGAATAGAATAGAATAGAATAGAATAGAATAGAATAGAATAGAATAGAATAGAATAGAATAGAATAGAATAGAATAGAATAGAATAATGCTTTATTACATCCTTAATGAAATCTGACATTTCAGTTTTGGTAATTGCTGTATTAAAACTTTTTTTTAAAATAAACTACAATTAAACTACACATACAATGCAATAATAGACTTCAAATAAACAACGACTAAATCACACTGAAAATATAGCACAACAATACATTAATTAATTATCACCTTTTCTTTTCTTATTTTGTAGGCTTTCTGTATGTAATTTAATAACCCGAGTAGACATTGTCTGTTAGTTGTGTTTAAAATGTGTAAAAATTTATCTTTGTTGTTGTAATTTTTGTGTGAATATTAAAATTTAACAATGGAATGTATTGTTTATTTCACAAACCAATGAATTTAAAACCTAATATCCCTGCAACATCAAATCTGCTAAAATTAAATCCAATGAATATTCTTCCTTTACAGCATTTTATTTTTTTATATAATTTGTGGCTATAAAATTATCATGAGCAGCCAGATTCAATTTATTGTAATTACTACAATAATGTACTGATGCTAATTATCATTCTGTTTTCAGTGGAGAGATGTTAACGAATTGAACAAATTAACAGGTCTTGAAGAAATCAGACTTAAGCGTAATCCTCTTTTGAAAGATCAGAAGTATTTCAACGTCAGGCAGCTTATCATCACCAAAATTGAAACATTAAAACTGTGCAATGGTAGTGAGGTAAGCTTAAAACCATACTACAATACACCTGTGGTAGAGTGAGGTATTAAAGTTTGTGTAATAAATACAGTTACAGTATTTGCAAGATGAAACACAGAAGCATGATGTTGTACATTTTTTGTATAGCTCTTTATGTATTACCCCTAGATGTCACACATCAGGATTCTCTTAGCATTGACTGCATGGGCTTTCATCACTCTGTCACAGATTAATCTGGATATTCTTGTTTTTGATGAATGTTTGAACTACTCTTTAATAATGACACTCGAAAACACAAGAAAAGATGAACAGATCATTATGACTTCACTTCATGAGAAACATTTATTCTATGCTTCCGTGTTTTATTTGAATCATATCAGCAGAATCATATTATTAATTGCATTCACATGTTTCTCACGCTGAAGGTTCCACAGAAAGTGCCAGCACCTCTACGCCATTGTACTCGAAAATGAATCTAATTTATTGTGTTCATTAGAGTTGATCAATTTTCATATATCATGTTTTTATATAACATGTCAATAAATAAATTACTAAACATTGAATATTAGAGCCTATTTGAATAAAAATGCAGTCTACTGGATTGTGTTCTTAAATGTTGCCTAAGGCGGTGACTGTTTGGAATTTAAACAATGTCTCCAACAACGTCAGTAATCAGTCATGGTTTAGAGAATGATATCCAGTTACTTTCTTGACTTACTGCTATCCTGCAACTGTACTTTTCAATAATCTTTCTCAATTTTTGCCATATATATATAACTATTTTTGAATTTCAATGACAACTTCTTGCATTTGGGGGGAAAATAATTAAGAAATATGCACCTTTAGAAAGTACCAGGTTGTATGACATGTAGATCATGCATAAAACATGTTAATATAGCAAAAAGCAAATGATAACATCAATAGCTTAGCTTCAGCGATTACTATAAAAAAATTGTATGTCAATAAATATTTTATTTACAATTGTAAATCTTCTGTTTCAATGCACCTTGTCCAACTTTATCTCCACTGGATCTTAGCAAAACTGCGGTATATATTAGCATTTTGCTAGTCTTAGCCAGCACAGTCTGCCAAACTGTTGAAATAATATTTTATCTTATGTAGGTTCCAGATATTGAAAGGAAAACTGCAGAGTTAGATTATCTGAAAAGATTTGGCCAAGAATGGTTGGATAGTGGTGGAAGTCAAGATCTGGCGATAAACAGACCCAGTGATGATTTCAAGATAAATCACCCAAGATATCATAGGCTGTTGGAACGTAAGTTATAAATAACCATGACTTCTGTATCAAAATATTGACCTCCATTTTGTTTGACACAATTCTGTTTATATCTCAAATTGACACTTGCTTCACAGACAATTGTGTGCTAGCACGTCAACAAAAGTCAATCCAAGATGGTTGATGACTATATTTTGTTTTGTTCTTTTTTTACACTTTTCTGCTTACATGTATATCTCAAATTTAAGCTGCCCAATTAGGTCAAAACTTGGTTCACAGATGACAATTGTGCTTAGCATACATTGTATCAACAATAGTTGATATGCTGGTACAATCACTGTCCCTCAACACCCGGTTAAGAAACGATTTTATGTTTATTGTTCGTATGTGTGTTTCGGTATTTATCTTTTTAATCAGCCATAGACCATATCACAATCCCAAATCAAACGCAACTCTGCCAATCAAAATACACAATGTACTATATGCAATCTGACATAACTATTCCACAATGCACTATAATTTGGAATTATGATATGTTTTACATTTTGTCAACATTGACAGTCTAAGTCATTAGTTCAGTGTAGAACTGGTACATGCACTTGATCAAA